CTCTCCTCTGTATAACTACCTTTCAGGGATTTGGAAGATGCTGTCATATCTCCCCTCAGAAAACTCCAAGAACAGCATACTAAGTATGCCACATGTCCTAGGACTGATTGACTTGGTAGCCAGTTTTATTGTGGATTTGCTTCTTTTCTGCAACCCCGCCCTCTGCAGGTCCTGAGCTGTGTCAACCCCGATAATGTGAACAGCCCTGAGATTCCAGTGAAGCTCTTGAACTGTGACACCATCACGCAGGTCAAGGAAAAGATTCTTGACGCCATCTTCAAGAACGTGCCTTGTTCTCATCGGCCCAAAGCTGCTGACATGGATCTAGGTGGGTGAAATATCTTGTTGGTTTAATGAAACATATCGCCCGTTGTTGTTGTTTGTTGTTGTTTAGTTGTTATGTCGTGTCTGACTCTTTGTGACCCCACGGACCAGAGCACACCAAGCTCTCCTATCTTCCACTGCCTCCCGGAGTTGAATTCATGCTGGTCACTTCAATGACCCTGTCCATCCATCTCGTCCTCTGTCGTCCCCTTCTCCTCTTGCCCTCACACTTTCCCAACATCAGGGTCTTTTCCAGGGAGTCTTCTCATGAGATGGCCAAAGTATTGGAGCCTCAGCTTCAGGGTCTGTCCTTCCAGTGAGCACTGGGTAACAGCCCCCAAACAGGAATAAACCCTGGGATAAATATGACGATACCATCTCAGTTTGCTGAGAGTGAGTGCCCCGTTCAGTTTGGAGGCAGCACTGGCAAAACCTTACTGGACTTGCCAGTGCTCAGCCGAAACCGGAATCTGCTTTTTGCAGTGGTGCCAAACCTGTGTTGTCTTGAATGTCCTGTTTCACACTGCAGATGGTGCAGGAGCTGATGGTTTTTCCCTCTCCAGTGGTGAGCAAAAGTCCTATGGGGTGTTGTCATTTCATTCAAACCTAGCTTCTTTTTGCCTGCCATTCGGGCAGTCTTGTACCATCTCCCTTCGCTGCAGAGATGTGCAGAGATTGCTGTATGGCCTAAAGAGATGCTCTCTTGTGATGAAAACAGAGACCGTTCACGGCAGCCGTCTCCTGAGTTGGCATTCACCACCTTCTCCGATGGGAAGACACAACAGGCATAGGAGGATTTCTCTACCGCCACCCCCAACACACATCCCCGTTTTCAGAAAGTATGTTGGAAATCAGATCAGAGTCTGCATTTCTATTGTGCAGAAGCCACAGGAGGTCCATTGATCTACAAATTCAGGGACAAGGAGGAAAACGCAGCGTGCTGATGAGAAGGTTTCAGCCACCTAGACCCCACTGAGCTTATGTTCTCTGAGTCCTGATGAGGACAGAAAACCGTTGGTGCAATAAATGGCTCATTGTACAGGCGGCTGATAAGGCTGCACTAAAATACAGGAAAGGAAGCAAACTGATGCGCTCGTATGGTGGGGAGTCTCTTGAGCCCTGATGGATGTGGTCTCCGAGGCCAGGTGCTGCACAGGTGGTGAACACCTCCTTCCCACACCATAGAATCAAGAAATAACGGAGTTGGCCTCTTAAGGCCATCAAGACCAACCTCCTGCTCAGTGCAGGAATACAAAGCAGATCGGACAGAGGGTTGCTCAGTTTTCTCTTGAATGCCTCCAGTGTTGCTCGCCGCCTCCCAAAGCCGTGGCTTCCATTGTCATACTGCTCTAACAGTTAAGAGATTTTTTTCCCCTGGTATTCAGCCAGTTCCCTCTAGCTTGAGCCCATTATTTTGAGTCTTTTTTTTCTCAACATGCCCAGCTCTTTCAGTCTTTCTTCCGAGGGCTTGGTTTCCAGTCCCCTGATCATCCTTGTTGCCCTCCTCTGAACATGCTCCCGATTCCTGATCATCCTTGTGGCCCTTCTCTGAACATGCTCCCGATCGTTGGCATCTTTTTTAAAGTGTGGTGTCCAGAACTGGACCCAGGACTCGAGAAGAGGCCTAACCAGTGCTGAATAGAGGGGGGCTAGTACTTCACGGGATTTGGAGAAGATACTTCTGCTAGGGGTTAGGGTCTGAGGTAGGCAAACTAGGTTTCCTTCACTGAAATGGCGGGGGGGGGTGAATAGAAGAAGAGAGCCACCCACTCCTTCCAGAGGTGGACAATGGTTATGTAATGAGTGAGCAGACTCTTCTCCGACCGCAACACCATGTTACCGGCTTGATGAGATAAGCTGCCATTAGAAGAGAAGATGGCTAGTACGGGATGTGATTTTCATTGTTTCACACTTGATGGCTCCCATTAAGCTGGTGACATGACATGTACTGTATGAAGGAGTGTATAAAGGTACATTATACTCCAGATCCCTCAACCCAATTCATGCAGTAGGCAAGCTAGCCATTTAACTTTTGTGCTGTGGGTGAATAGAAACGCCAGCAGTTGCTTTTCCTCCTAGCTGGTGTCTCATCCCTTCTTCCTCTCTTGTAGCTTTCAGCACTGCCAGCATCCAAGGTCCTCCGGGCAAGCCACGGTGCTGAAATTTGAACAGTTTTTAAACATGAAAAACAGCATTTGAGGCGGGGCGGGGAGTGTAGGTTTGGGAAAAGAAGCAGCAAAGGGGAAGAGATCCTTTACCCTTTCTTTTTCGTTCATTCCACGCTGACATTTCTGAAGTCTTGTTCCCCCCACAACTCAGTTTGAACCAGGGCTGTTAATTACAAGCGGCACTAAATACAGTGGTGCCCCGCTTAACAATTACCCCGCTTGACGACAAATCCACTTCATGACAATGTTTTTGCGATCGCAATTGTGATCGCAAAATGATGTTTTAATGGGCTTTTCTCGCTTCCCGACAATCGGTTCCCTGCTTCGGGAACCGATTCTTCACTTTGCACGATCAAAACAGCTGATTGTCGGTTTTTCAAAATGGCCACCGGCTGCTCAAAATGGCTCCCCGCTGTTTTTAGGAGGCATTTTTTGCTGCACAGGCACCCGAAAATGGCCGCCCTATGGAGGATCTTCCATGGACAAACCGGTATTTCACCTATTGGAACGCATTGAACGGTTTTCAATGCTTTTCAATGGGCTTTTAAAAATTTCGCTTGACAAGGATTTCGCTGTACAGCGATTTCGCTGTAACGGATTATCCTCGTCAAGTGAGGCACCACTGTATATAATATAATAATCATGTGCCAGCAAGTCAGTTCAGACTTATGGTGGTGTTTTTCAGGGTTTTCCAGGTAGAGCCTACTCAGAAGTGCATTACCCTTTCCTTCCTCTAGGGGTGCTCTGGGGTTATGCAGCTGGCCCAAGGCCACCCAGGCTGGCTCTACTCACAGGTGGCACTGGGGGGGGGGGTGATCGAACTCCCAACCTCTGGCTCCACAGCCAGAAGCTTAAACCACAGAGCTATCCAGCCAGCACCGAGGACCTCAGTGGGCTCGGAATTGCTGCCCGTCCCTGCCTCTGCACAATAAGCCTGTGGATCACAGGCCCTGAATCAAACGCCACGCAGGGCAGAGTCATCTTTACGAACGGGTGAGAATCAGCCCATGCCAACAGCTGCCACGTCCTTCTTCAGGATGGGTTCCCATGGTTTAGGGTGGAGAAAAATGACCGGGGGCTCTTTCCCTTTGCAGAATGGCGGCAGGCGAGCGGGGCCAGGATGATCTTACAGGACGAGGATCTTACCACCAAGATCGAGAATGACTGGAAGAGACTCAACACCCTCGGCCATTATCAGGTAAGCCGCCAGTTTTGCTGGAGCAAACACCGGTAAAGAATAGGAAAATACAGGCAGTTCTTCCATCTTCTTACCTGTTTACCTGCCTACCCATCTATAATTTCTTTGGCTGTTTTCCCATAAAATGCTTATTTATGTATTTGTTTCTGTTCATTATGAAAATATTTTATTTGTATGTTTTATTTTCTATCCCACCTCTCTCCCCTAATGGGGAGGGGGACCCGAGATCTTTCCATCTCAATGGCACCCTGAATCCCCATCTTGGATAGACCGGAGGCTGAGTCACCCTCGAAACAGCCCCTGTTGGGATCGAACTCAGCTCATGAACAAGGTCTTGACTGCTGTTCTCCGGTTTAACCGCTACACCACAAGCCTCCTTTTATCTGTGGCGTAGCTCAACCCCTTTCTTTTCTCAGACATTCGCGAACAGAGCAGATCTGCCAGCAGAACACCCTGCAGTCGGGTCTCTGGAATCAGCCAGCATGAAGGAGGGTTGGTTGACAGGAGGGCATTTCTGCTGGCAGAAGAGATGTCTACTACATCCTAACCCACCATCAACCAGTGCACCTTTGGGTTAGACTTGTTCTGTCCTCACGAACACTGGTGGATTAAGATGATATTTAACAGAGAGGTGGGTCCCATGGAAAAGGGACGTGGTGGCACTGTGGGTTAAACTGCAGAAGCCTCTGTGCTGTTAAGTCAGAAGACCAGCCATCGTAAGATCGAATCCACACAACGGAGTGAGCTCCCGTCACTTGTCCCAGCTCCTGCCAACCTAGCCAATCAAAAGCATGTAAAAATGTGAGTAGATAAATAGGTACCACCTCGGAGGGAAGGTCACGGCGTTCCATGTCTAGTCGTGCTGGCCACGTGACCACGGAAACGGTCTTCGGACAAAACGCTGGCTCTACGGCTTGGAAAAAGGGATGAGCACCACCCCCTAGAGTCCGACATGACTGAACTAAATGTCAAAGGGAACCTTTACTTGAGTCCCATGGAATTTCTTGCTTGGAAGCAGACATGTACAGAGGGGCAGTCCTGGCCATCTCCCTGGTGTGCTAGATTATTACATGTATTTGTTGGCAGGGGTTGAATGTTATGTTGGGGCTGAGCCGGTGAACAATAGTCGTGGCATTTCCCATCACCAAGTGAACCTCCCTCTCCATCCATTTGCGCCTCGCCCTGTCTGTCTCTTCCTGTTCGTCACCTTGGTGACATGCAATTAGAAATGCCCAGGACGGGAGAGAAAACTGTTGGCCCTCTCCCTTCTTTGATCCTATCTCTCTCCCTCCCCCCTTCTCTTTCCCCTCCCCTCCACTGGGCTCGTAACAGGATGGAATGTCAAGCTTGAGATTAGAAACAGATTGGAAGCTGAGAGGAGACAATGAGGAGGACAGGAGTTAATTCTGTTCTGACCCAGAAGAAGATTGATTGTCTCTGTCCAGAACGAAAAGGCTAGGGTTCTTTAGAAATCCAAATAGCAGAAAGGAAAGTGGGAGGCCTCCAGGGAGAGAAGGGGCAATGGGATATCCCAGGGCCCATAGAACTGAGCCAAAATGTTTCATAAGATTTCTCTTCCTTCCTTCCTTCCTTCCTTCCTTCCTTCTCTTGTTTACATATTTTCCTTCCTTCCTTAGCCTTCCTTCCTTCCACCCATTCATCACCCATCCATCCATCATTAGCTCCTTCCTTCCTTCCATCCACTCACCCACACACCCTCCCACCCATCATTAGCAACTTCCTT